ATCTAGATAGTTAAAGAATATATATACTTTTATTTTGAACCTGATTTTCATTTATTCTATAGAATAAAAACTTACTCAGATCGGTTGGTAGGTTTGTATAGGTAGGATCTGGCCGAGTGTGTTGAAGCTCTCGTTTTGTGTTTGGTCTGGTTTTATCTCCAATTATTAGTTGCACCTCGCTTAATTCGGTATTGTCGAAATGCTGAGACCAGAGATTGTGGAGATCTCGTTTTATGCTTCGTAATCTTTTTTCATGCGTTGTGTGGAAAATAAGACGACGTCTGGCTTGTTCAGCTCTTCGTTCAGCTTCTTGTTGACGTTCTTCTGGAGTCATGTTGGCTCTCGCTATTCGCTTTGATCGTTTCTCTCGATCAACACTTGGTTTAACTAATAATTGTTGACGAATGGCAAAGAATTCATTTTCATTGTCAATGATCGGTAGTATTTGCGATGATGACCATGTAGATGAATATTTATTAAAAAACTTTTTGAATTGTTTATCAATAAATTTAGGTGGATAGCTAGAAATGAATTTCATATATTTTAGATTAAGATGCGTTTTCAATCGTTAATATTACGTACCGATTATAGAGTAATTTTAGGCGAATCAATCGTCTTTCATGATTAAAATGTGTTAATGTTGATGAATAACGTACAGCTCTTACAAGGGCTGCATCTATAATATTATTAAAAATTCTTCGTGGATGATCAGACACGAATGGTACAACGTAGGGTTCTGCTGCTTCTTTATGGTAAACAGATGTTGATAGAATTCCGTTATCGTTATGAACAAGAACGTCGAGAAAGGAAACCTTAATACCCATTTCATGAACTAACTTTATGTTGGGATGTAATTGATTTAATTTTTTTAATTCGTGTTTGAAGTCTTGTACTGTACCGTTCCATGTAAAAAATACGTCATCAATATATCTAGCAATAAGAAGTAAGGTATATTTCTGAATAGGATAAGAGAAGAAGAATATAGATACTTACCGGCCATATATTTCTCTTGATGAATTCAACTTATTTGCAAATTCTTTTTCCCAATTCCACATAAATATATTGGCCAATGTCAAAGTAAAAGGTGATCCCATAGCACCACCAAGAATTTGTCTATAATACTTTTTGTTATATACGAAAACATTTTCAGTAAGTACAATATGAGCCAATTTACGAATAACATCAAGTGGAATACCAGCAACTTGTTCAAAACCAAAATGACGAAGAAAATTTACCAGTATGTCCAATGATTCTTGCTGTGGTAGCATTGTATACAAATCAGTAATGTCGAATGTACAGAAAATAGTTGATGGTTGAAGTAGACCTTCTTCTTGATATTTCATCAGGCGACAAATTAAATCAACACCATCAATAAATGTTGTTGATTTGACTTTTTCATCGAAGATAGGTCGAATGAGAAGATCTAGTAAACGTGAAATTCCAGTTGTTGGAGCATGAATTGAAGAAGTGATAGGTCGCAATGGTATACCAATCTATTATTAGATAAAGAATTATCATAATAAGAAGTCAATTTTCAATTACCTTGTGTGCTTTTGGAACAAAATACATATGTGCTAGTTTTGTTTTTCGTCGATCAGGTAACATCCTCTTGTGTTGCCATGCTCGAATTAATTTTTTTACACGAAGATCATTGAGTTCATGGACAACTTTTAAGAAAATTTCTCTTAATGGATTATATGTCAGTTCAATATATGCATTAGTCCTTGTTCGATAAGCTTCAGCTTTTTGTTCAAAATCGATAGATCGACCAATGTAAAAGACATTACTTTTGTCGGTAATACGAAGAATAAGATTTGCCTTTTTCAATTTACGTCGAATAGATTTGACTAATTTTAAATCATTACGTGCACATAATCGATCTTTAACAGATAATGGTGTCTTATATCGATCAATGAGACAAGTGTTCACTTTATTACAAAGTTGTTTAGAAATAGCTGATGATCTACCCACTTTATGATGAGTACTGAGATTATATAGAATTTTCTCTGTAATTGTATCATGTTCTCCTTTAATAAATTCTTTTCGTACTTTATCACTATACAACCAGGTTTGATTCGGTCTAATATAACCAGGACCTAAAATTATATTTTTTGTATTTTAATAAAAAATTTTTCAAAGTAGATAATCAACATTATACCTCGTCTTAAATAAGCTAATTCGGCATCCGTAAGTGGAACTTCAGATACATCAATAATGGGTTCAGGTGATACTCCAATTTTGTTCTTCGCAGTAGAAGAACGACGATAACGCCGAAATAGACGAATTTGAAACGCCTTCATATTTCCAGTTATTTGTTCTAAACCTTGTTGAGTTCGATGAACAGTATAAGCTTTCAATGAATCTACCAAAGATATTCCATTAACATTTTGATTTAAAAATTGTTCTTCTAATTTTTTTAATTCTTGTTGAAATTGACATTCAATATCTGCAATTTTTGACTCGTACTGTTGAATATCATTTTGCAGCATAATACGTTTGGTTTTTTTTACTTTTGTTCGATATTGGTTCGCTAGATCATGAGAAGTGTGACCAACATAAGGTATGGAATTACTATTAACGGGTGCTAATTTATAATCTACTTCATCATAAGCTTTTGGTAAAAATCCATAGAATACTCGTCTTTCTAACATCCATAATTCTTCAACGATCTGTAGTTGTTTTTGTCTCATATCCTTAATTCGATTGACTATATCTCGCTGTTAATATAAATTCGGAAGAAAACAATAGAAACATAAATGTGTTCTATACTAGTAGATTAAAATTCGAGTTACCTGTGCATCAGTAACAGAATTTGAAGACATTGTATCTATGAATTGTTTTTCCTTTATATAATTCTTAAACCTGGTAACATCTGAGTTAATTTTGTTTGACATAGCAGTTTGATGTGAACTAACAAAGTGTTTTAGTTCACGATCAACAGTAGTCAACGAGAGAGTTGACGGAAAAGACGCACTTTGAAGTAATAATTCACATTCATGTTGTTCAAGTTTATTTTGAAAATAATCGATTTTTGTCAGGATAAATTTCACAACTGAATCATTTTCCGTTGATGTTTCATCTGATGCCATAACCATCTTGATGACATGTTCCTAATAATGAGAGATATATAAATGTAATAAACAATAGAAATACTATTCATATCGGAAAACTCACTGGCCATATCTGATATTGTGACCCCATATCAAGAAAAGATTGCCACATACATCGATGTAGATCATAACAAAATAGTGCATCGAATATGCAAAGTCGTAATTGAATAAAAGCTTTTTCTTGACTCGTTCTGAGCTTATGATTTATTTGAATAGAGATGATTCGATAAAGTACGTTTAGTGGTATGGTTTTTAAATATTTCGACGGCCTTCAATAGTTATACAAAAAAGAATTCAATACAAGTTAATGGAAATTAAGAAGTGAGTGAAACAAACCGACAAATCATTTGTGGATCATCATAAATAATATTATTCACTGCATATTTATTTTTATTCTTTCTCTTTTTATTTTTCCTTTTTTTTAATTTACTTCGCTGTATTAATTGTTGTTGTTGTCCAGTAATTGGACCTTGTCTTACGGTAGTTGCTTGATGTCGAGAAGAACGATTATTATTATTTGACGCCCAAAGTGTTCTATTATTCATAGTAATACTATGATTTATGATTAGTATTTATATCTAGAATAAAAATATGTGATTTGTTTTTAAAACAATCAAAGTTGAATACCAAAACTAAACAAAATACGCAAACGGAATGGTACTTTAATGAAATATACACATTAAACTTACGCTAACATAAAGCAATACACGAGTTCAATATAAGATGATTTTGTTGGTAAGATCTCTGGAAAAGAAACATATCGAAAATAAAGCCTGATTATAGCGAATCATATGAATTATCCACGATTACAGAAGGCTACATACCTAGATATGTATAGATTTTCTAAATCATAATCTCATTTTACTAGATAAGCGAAATCTTTATCCTCAACCTAAATACCAATATAATCAGTGGCATTAAGATCATTGAACATAGCCGGAACAGATGATTGAAAATTTTCTATAGCTAAGAAAAACATGAATACAATATTATCCTAAGGACACGAACAAATATTTCTTACTTGATCCACATCAGAATTGTCACCACTGTATGAATTTGATTTGTAATTATTTGATGATTCTGTCACGATTTACGCTACTGAAAGTATTTAATTGTCAATAACTTTGAAATCAAGAAGTATCTAGGAACGAAAACAAAATCGACGATAATCGTAACACTGCAATGAACATGAGTAATAATTCATAAAAACATATTATTTGTCCTAAAGAAAAAAAGTTTACAAAATGTATCTATTTGGCAGTGAATGACATCCATTTCAGTGTTGCTAAAAGCTCCATTAGAGGATTTTAATCCCTTACTTGAAGCTTCGAAGATAAAAGAATTGCTTCTACTGAATTCTATGTACTAGTTGATCTATCAATACTGTCCATGCTTAGGTATCAGTATTGGTAATTAATCGATTGTAGTTGTCGGAATTTTTCGATACATTATCAATTTTATTCAGAATATACACTCATGTAGTAGATCCTGAATAATTCTAACTTGTTCGATGTTTTGCATAGTGAAATTCCATTAGCAGAGAAAATTTGTCGTAATACCAAGAGTTTTTGGTCAGTTTTCATTATAAATACCAAGTGCAAATTAATTGTATTAGAGACTCAATCGAGAGAGACCTAAATAAAAAGAATTTCTAAAATTTGAGCTGCAAAGCACAAACAAAGTTTAAAAGGAATGTACAACACGTAACCTTAATAAATGGATCATCAATTGCAACAAGGACCAAGCAAGAATTGTAACCAGTTGCTGATATTTAACCGAAAACTAGAGATATGTCAGTAAAAGATGCTATAGGTTTGTACTGTATGTCTTTCCATTGTTTGATTATCGGTTCT